CAAAAAAAAACTAATCAAAATTGAGTTACTCATTATTTGGTTATTTTTTTTTCAGAAATGAAATATAGGAATCTATGCATTAAAAACCTTGACTAATTCTTTTTTTCTGTTATTATTTATTTTTTTCTTTTTTTATTAGTCACAGTATTTGCATGCTTTTGTGATTAATAAAAGGCATGATCTATTTTACTTTTTAGCTGTAGACTTCTAGTAACTTCCAAAGAAATAAATACCTTGTAACCAGATATACTGCTTGAAGTTTGTATATAGAGTTGAAGATAAAATTAGTTGTACAACAGTCATTTGGCCTACTACTCGTATGGCAGTGAGTTGTTTATTTTGAACTGAATTGTCACTTTTTCTAGCATTTTTGATGAGTCTGAATCCTGTTTTTGTATTATTGCTTTATTAGTTATTATTCTTTTTATTCTTATACAGCCAATTGTACTGCAGTTCCATGTGGGGCCATATTCAGGGCAATATGAAAATGTAAATACTTTCAGTTTTATTTTTTATTACATCTTTAAGTTTAAAGAAGGAAAAATTTCTGCCACAGATACTGTTACTCTGTTTATAAGGAAATTATTCAGAACTTGTTCCATGACCTGTAAAGAAATGGGTTTCTAGCAAGAAAAAAAATTATCTGGTATAACTGCAGCCCTCAACATTTTTTTAATTTAATATTAAATTTAAAGGCCTAAGAAATGCTAGATATTTTGTTTTCTTTATTTTCAGAGGTATAAGTGATGTGTAATGACATAATGTGGATTAATCTCAGCCAGTTGAGAAGTATGAATATTCAGCATAAGCCTAATGCTAAAGAGAAAAAGGCATGTGGCTCACAGCCTCTTTTTTGGCATTGAAGCTTCAAATTAAAAGGCATGAAATGAGAGGAAACCATCTTTAGCAATTTTTCCACATTTTTATTACTGTATCTTCACTAATTGTTTTAACTATTAATTTTTTTAAATCTCAGCTGCCTACTAAAAATTGAGATTGTAGAATACCGTGACTGATAAACACGTACTTGGTATATTTCTAGCAAAGATGAGCAAGCATATTGAAAGATCTCATTTGTTTTACTTAAGGATTGCATTTTGGGTGTTTTTGCTGAACATGAATTAGAGGTGGAGTTTGTGGTTAGAGTATTAAATTCACAGGACTTGATTTCTTCAAGCAAGGACTCTAGATGAGCATCTCTTAAGAATGTGGAGGAAAGTAAGATCCAGAATGACATGAGGCCTGAAATACTGAAATAAGCTCCATTAACTTTGGAACTCAAGACTGCCATTCACACACTGCGTGGTTATTAATCTAATTCAACTATAAGACAATTCCGGGAATAAACTTCAGAGAATAGAAAAACTGAGCAAATAAATACAATTTAGAAATTGATAGATACAGATTGCCTTTCATCCTAAGTTTGATATGTTCAGTTCACCTTAGAGGCTTTTGGGATCATTTGGACAAGGAAGATGTTGCCAATTTGACAGCAGTTATTCTTGCAGCTGATCAGAAATTAAGATGATTGAATTGCCTTTGAACACTGTGAACCTGGATTAAGAAAATAGATTCATCACAAGTGAATGGAGAGAGGCTTTCAGAGAACAGAAATAAGTTACCATTTCTTTCTTTAATAAGAGAGGGAGAGTGAGAGAGAGAGCTGGAATTCCCCTTGAAAATGACTTTCTGCGTCAAAGTGGGAAGCAGCCTGTCTGAGAGCTGCCCAAGATGCAAAATAAGAGTAGGCAAAGTTATTCCTTTGTTCCTGCTGAAGCTAGGTTATACTAGAGCAAGGCATATGGATCTATTTGTCTCAGTGAAAAAGCAAGAAATCTTCTTCAATTCAGTCCTCCTTGCTTAACTATTGAACAAGGGTTCTTGTGATTGGTGATATTTGGACAATAGTATATTGAGGGAATGTTTGTTGTTTGTGGGATTTTTTTTCTTTTTTTTTTTAATTCTCTTTTTCCCTTTGAAATAGAATGCAAAAACTGCACTGGAAGCAAACGTGCTCAAATCTCAGAGAAAAAATAAATAAATCCCAGGGATTTTGATCAATCTGAGAGATACAGAGGAAAAGGGGAGAAGGGGGGGAAAAAAAAAAAAAAAAAAAAAAAAAAAAAAAAAAAGACAGAAAACAATCAAACAAACAAAAACAAACAAACAAAAAAACCCAATTGCTTTCACTCTGTATTTCAAAAGCTGGATACTAAGTAAGTCTGTGATGGGAAGAATTCGCATTTAAAATCTGCAAGTACAGCTTAGAATTCAAGGCTGTTTGTTCTTAAAGTTCTTAACCTTTAGCCCCATGTATATAAAATATGGACAGCAATTCTGTTTGATAGAATTTTAATCATATAAGACAGGATTTGTTCTCTTAAAAATGCTGGGCAAGGAGAAAGAAAAGCAAGCTGCAGTTATCAAATATTTAATACCAAATATATTTTACATCTCAGAGTGTCTCAGAGGTGTAAGTGAATTATATTTGAGTCATCTGGATGAAAATTGAAGTAAATAATGCTGGTTCTCCATTGGCCTCAGCTAGTGATGATGTCTGAGGGAAATTCCCAGTCTAATCTTCATGAATTTTCCCTTCCTAACTTGACAATAGGAATATTATTATTATTGGTGAGAAAATTTGACTGTAAAAGGAAAATAGTCTGTTATAAAATTGATAAGAACATTTTAAAATATATTTGGATGCTAAATAACATCATTTCTAATTACATTTCATTGTATTTTTGTCCTTCTAATTTTTTGCATATATTTCATTTTTGCAATTGTTTCCAATTATTTCATATCATCAACTCAGTCGGGAAATTAACACCAAGATTAATGCAGGAAAGTGGTTTTTCACACTAATGCTTATTTTGCCCAACCAGTATGTGAATTACTCTCGATAACTAGGCTTCACACTTCCTTTTATAGTTGTATCTTCAGTGAAATGATTACTTAATACAGTACCTACTCCTGTGCTTATTTTGGTGTTTGAAGCTAATCCCTACACTGTTCCGATGAGTTTACTGGTGGTACAATCCTAGGTACTGCTACATTTGCAGAACAAGTAGGGAGGATGTATTTTATTTGCAACCTTTTCCAAGTGGAGATAACCAGTTGCAGTGCTCTCTGACAGACATTTGTGAATCATTACAAGTGGTGTGCTTAACTTTTGTGTCTTTCACTTCACTCTCACTTCCTGTGTAGATAACTGGACAATAACATCAGCAAGGAACTAGCATACAATGAATTCTTACAGCCTATAAAGGCAGAGGCAGTGTTTACGCCTATATATTAATTATTTTTACTGCCTGTGTGTTGCTTCCATAAGAAAAGCAAAGATTGGTTGTGAGCTACAATGAGGAGCTCAGCTGTTGGGGAGTGAAAGAACAGGGAGAAACAAAACACACACTGAACAAAAACTATTCACTTCAGATTAGTAATAATGTTTTTCTGTAGGATTGTGGTGCTAAGACTTCTATGTAGCTTATGTTATCACACCTTTGTTTTCATAGTTACAACATTCAGTCTTTTAGTAATATTGATGGGGTGCAGGGTGAAGATATCTTTCTTCAGTTCTGAAATGCATCACTGTCTGGTGACAACATTGGTCTGATTTTAATGCTGCCAAAAAGTATCTTCTCCAAGTAATACTGAATGAGTTCCTACTAATGGGAAAATTCTTGGATGGATGCCTAATCTGTTGAGAGCCCTGCAGGACTTAAGACTGCTGTAGAAGACAAACACAATTTACTCTAAAACTTACACTGTTACCAAAGCTTATCAGATAGTAATTCACTGTTAAACAACATATGCTAAATTATATTACTACTCTTACATAAGCCACAAGGACAAGAAATGACTTACTGCAACCATCGACTATTTTCTGGTTATTTGAACTAAACTAGATGCAATCTCTTTTTATATCATTTAGATAGAAGAGGCAGGTATCATTTACTCTTAACTGTCAGGCTGGGAGTTGTGATACAAATAGGTATACTCAGCCTTTCATAGTATCTCCCATCAGAGAACACGAAAAATACCAAATTCTGCAGTAGTCTGTCTGTCTCTTTTTCTGTAAAAGCTGAACAAAAAAATATCATTGAGACTTGTATCAAATTAAAATGAAAGAGCTAGGTCATGTTTTCCATTCTCCATTATTAACCTTTTCCTTTGGTAACACAGCTTGCCATGGAAGTCATCTTTGTTCTCAAGTCTACTGTACTCCCAGATAACATCGTATTTAAGGAGTGAAAAATTCTAATTGAATCATCTCCTATAATGTACTTTGTTTTTGTTATTACAGACAGCTTTTACAAAAAAAAAAAAAAAAAAGAAAAAAAAAAAAGAAAAATTGCATCCCATAGGGCCATTTACTGAAGAAAAATGCTGGAGTGATTCAGGTGATAGTCCATGTAGAAGATTACTGTGAAAAGACTTTTAACATACTAAGAGAAGATATTAAGAAGTCAATTATACCAAGAATTATTGATAGTAAGGTTATTCTGTTTTCTAAGCTATAATCAGCAAAATTATCACGATTTAATATCATTAATGGTATTGTAGATCACAAATTTGTCATTTTACAAATTAGGGTGAAGAAATTAAAAAGTGGACCCTATTACATAAATGACATAAAATAATCACAATAGAAGAGGTTTTTTTTAAACCAAGCAGCTTAGCCTCCTTGATTTCAGGTTAAGGTTTTGCATAGCTCTGTATACTTGTTGGATTTGTTTTATCAAGCTTAAATTTCAGTAGCAAATAAGAAGGTTGGTATGATATATGATGACATCTCTACTGAAAATCCCCTTGATGGTAGGAAGGAGAGAAGAGCTGGCTGTTCTAAACGCAGATAAAGCTGTGTGTGGCATCTGAAGGATCTAGAGACCTGTCTTGGGTTTGATGTGACAGGAAGTAATAACACAGTACTTGAAGGCAGGCAGAATACCAGGTAGCTTTGACTTGGAATAATTTTAGTCTCTTACTGCTGTCTCTAGACTCAGCCTGGGATGCTTTCTCAATGGTTTGCCAAGTGAAACAACACGGTCCACTTCATCTATTCCTTCAAATTGTCCCTGGAAATACCAGGTAGGAGTGTTAATACCTTTATATGTTCTTTCAGATGCAGGCTGATATGTAGATACTCTGTATATGATTGTTCCACCACTGATAACAAGTGAACTGAAATAAATGTGGTTCATGAAGAAGTGATTTGATAAAAACTTGTCGATTTGGGGTAAAAATAAGAGCAATAGTGCACACATACGCATGAAAAACTGGAAGTTAAGCCTAATTGCCAAGCACTTGCCTAGCATTTCCAATCAATTTTATCTCCAGAAGCAAATATCCACTGCAAATGAATATTGTAAGGATAGAGTTACTAGTATATTTGTGTATGTACATATAAACTTGTAAAAAATATTAGGCAAAGTTATGTTTCACTTTCTATTATTTTTTTGTTCTTTTCTTCTTTCCTTTTCCTTCATTATTATTCTTCATTTAACTGTTATCAGCTTCCTGCTTTACCTTTTGCTGTTTTACATTGTTTTTCTTCCTTTTATGTTACATGAACCAGCATAAATATAAGTAAGTATTTGTGTGTGTGTGTATAGCTGTGTGTGTGTGTGTATATACATACAGCTATATATACATATATATAGCTGTGTGTGTGTGTATATATATACACACACAGTGTAAGGCATACTAATTACATGCTGATAGACTCACAATACAGTCACAGATTTCTTTAGTATTTAGCACTGCTCTGAGTATAGGTAATTTATACCAGTTACATGATAATGTATTCAGAAAAATGCCATAATTTAAATGTTTCTCTGAAGAACACAGTACCATATTGTTATGTTGTACTGCATTTGTACAGCAATATGTTCAGACATCTGCACAGGCAAATGTTTCACAGATTTTGAAGTGCTGAAAAAATAAAATGAATCATACTTAGTCAAATAAATTAGAGGCCAGTCTTAAAGATATGAGGAAAAGAAGTCACAATCCTTAATAAAGTGTCAGATAAAATGTATGGTATGTATTTGCATGAATTATATGGTACATATAATCAGATTAAAATTTAATCCATATTGTACTTGGGAATGAAGACTTTGTTTATCTGTCTGAACACATTTTTTGGACTACTAAAGTCATTTGAAGTACATTCAGATCTTCAGACAAAAGCTGTCTGAACAAAAATAGAATGCTACTTTGTTTATTAAATAGTGAGGCCTAACTGAATCTTTGAACTTTGTTGAGAGATCATTTGTTATATTATCACCAAGGTTGGAAAAGACCTCTAAGATCGTCCAGTCAAATTTGCATACCTTTTTTTTTAATTATAAGGATAGATGCATTAATTACAAGTAAAAGTAGTACCTCCACATTAAATAACAACACTGAGATTTTATGTATAAAAGGAGTATTTCCACTTCATTAAAAAAAAAAAAAAAAAAAAGTTTAATTTTATATAATTATATATATAGTTGAGTAGCCTCAAAACAATAACATTTTTTTTTTCCACCTCGAGTTCTCTTAACTGAAGAAAATCACAGTTTTGAATTGCAGGTTACTAGTTTTCTTTCTTTTAATCTTCTCTTTCCCTTTTTGTCTTCATATTTTCATTCACTGGAGTTCTTTCATTCAGCTTCCTCTTTCCTCTGGAGTTGTTCTTAACCAGAAATTTGATTTCAAAGAGCTGAATTACAAGGCATGAAGTATTAGCATTGTATAGACAATATTTGTCAGGAAGTCCAGGACATGCTGAAGCACCCATCACTGTGACAGAAGCATTTTTCTGTGCTAAGTGACACAGCACAGAGAAAGCAACAGGACTTCTGTTGGCACTGTAATGAATTAAGTCTGACTGAATTCTCTCGTGCTAAATATAGTCAAAGTTATCATTCAAAGGATGTCCTAGCCACCCGTTACCACCTGTGCCGTGACTGGAGTTTTTATACCTTTTCTGTTTTCTAATAAGAATTTAGCCCAGTGGGAGGCATTACTGAGTTTCTCCTCCTTCATTCAATCATGTTTTTTTCACAAAATCTTTAAGGATATAAAACTATTAGAGTTTGCATTTCCTTGAAAAACTGGGGAAATCAGCTGCAAATACAGCTGGGAAGAAAGGAAAAATAAATATGTATTCATACATTATAATACAAATCTGTCTTAGGAAGACAGTCTAAGAAGTATTTATATTAGCTTGTTATGATAATAAAATCTGCACATTATACCGGCCAGGTAGCAGTTCGCTGTTACCAACTGGATGTTGACTGAACAAAGGGGATGTAATGAATACAGGGAACAGCTTTAATAAAAGATTCTCAGCTCCATTCTTCTGCCTTCAGGCAGTTATAATTGTTTTTCCTCTATTGACAAATTGTCTGGTACTTTTAGAACATGAACAGTTTCTGCTTTGGGGTTAGTGTCATATTCCTCACATCCGGAGTTGAGTCCTGTTTTCAGGATATTTTCAGTCCTGCCAAATCCTTTTCTACAAGAATTAACTTGTGAAAATTGAAGATGTTTCACTACTAATGACAACACTGGGTGGGGGAGGGAGCTCCAGATAGGAAGGCAAGTAAAAGCACTCAGCGTGGATGTGGCACTGCTCTGATAGAGGACAAAAAAGGTTTCAGTCTCCCCAGCTTTGTGTATTGCTGTTCAGCAGCTTTTAACTCTTTAACCAAATGAACAAATTTGAAGCCTTGCTGAGTGTATACATAGAAGCTTTTTGACTAAACTTGTTGAAGACAGAAAGATGGCAGGAACACTTTGCCTCAATTTCTCTTAACACTTTGAAGTCTGAAAAACTGCACTTAAAGAACATTTTCACATCCTTTTTTAATCAAAGAGGAATTTCGTAAATTCATTATGAGCAGAAACAGGGCATCAATGATTTTAGGTAGGAAGCAGAGAAAATGCTTGGTAAATCTCCTATGGGTTATCCAGGCTTCAACCCAATAAGCTGATATTTAAGAAATACATGTGAACAAATGTAATAAGTACTTGGGACATGTCTCTGGTAGGATGTTGAAGCTAGAAAAATCAAATTAATACAGCCAGAGAAGGGCAGGGAGACTGATGAAAACAAAGTGCGTGATGATAGTGGAGAACAAATATGAAGGGAAATAGCTGACAGAAAATATTTGTAAATTGTGCTGAAGTGGAGGAGAAATTGGAAAGAAGGGAGTGTAAACTAGGCCTGTTTTTCTTTTTTTTTTTTCCTATGTCATTTTAGTAAGCTCTGAGATGATAGAGTTGATGAATAAAATGGCTCAGAATGAGGTCTGCTATATTGCAGTTTGAAGAACTGCTATAACTGCCTTGAATAATGCAGCTACTATTTTTATTTACAGTAGATGAAAAACTTATTTTAAGTGAAAGCAGTAATTTCCTAGTACGATTTTCAATATCTGTGTGGTTTGTGATTCACTTGCTAATGAAAAAACAAAGTGATGTGGTGATAGGATTCAGTCTGAGCTGTAAAATGAATAAGCCTTGTGTTTATTTTTTGTGGAACTGTGGATGAGTCATTAACAAGTCCACAAATTAATGTAGGTGTTTAGAACCTACAGTCGTAGTAACTAAGTTATCTTCAAGGGTCTTTCTCTAGACTGAGATACCACTGAATTAATTATCCTAATTTTGATTTGTAACTCATTTTTGTAGGTCACAACTGAAGCAGACAAGATCAGTCTTTATTTGTTGCAGATTTTTGTATGCTAAACTTAACCATTTACATTCATACTCTGTCTTTTAAAGCCTTGGCTATGTGGGTAATTTTGTCATATTCAGAGGAATTTACTTGAGAATAGTCATATTCTACAACATAGGCCCTTAAGAGTATTTAACTAGATTTTAGAATTGGAATTCATTAGTTGAGAAAAACCTTCAGTATATTTCAGCTGTCAGAGAAACAGTAATTGCTGTGATTTTGGGGTGATTTATGGGATAGTATGACATTAAGTCTTGCTAGCTTTCTTTTGATCCATCTCTGTGCTTCTGCTTTATAAATTTCTATGGAATCTCTTCTTTTATTAACACTATTACACTAATTTAATGTAATGTATGTTCACCAGAATATACAGAACGTACAGAATATATATGGATATTTTTGAAAACTTTGAGATCATACTTATTTCTGTAAAATTCCTCACCTTTGTACTCTAGTATATTACAAAAAATAACCAAAGATTCAAATTTGTTTTCAGCCTTTAGGTGATTCATTTCCCACAGTGGAAACATTGCGTTGGTGTTTTTCATTCCTTTTTCCTTTTCTTGCCTGAGAAATTCAGCACAAGAAAACGTAGTATAAATTCACCAGTATCAAATGCCTCGTCTTTGTAGTTACTGGATTTGGGCCAAGAGCACAATTAGCATAACAGGTTTTCTAAAATGATAATTCGTAAATAAATAAAATCTTGAAGACCTCATTATATTCCTATGACCTTTGGGGAAATTTTAAACATAAAACTAACAATGGCAGCATTTTTTTTTTCAGAGTGCTTAAGGTGGCAACCCTCCAATCACTTTCTGAGGAAGAAGAACTGCATGCGTGCTAGGGAACAACCTGTTGGAAGGGAGCTCTGTGAGGAAGGACTTGAGTGTCCTTGTGGACAACAGGTTGACCACAGTAAACAGTGCATTCTTGTGGCCAAGAAGGTCAATGATATCCTGGGGTGCATTAAAGGGAGCACAGTCAGCAGGTTGTTATCCTTTCCCTCTACTCTGCCCTGGTGAGGGCACATCTGGAGTAATATGTGCAGTTCTGGGCTCTGCAGTTCAAGAAAGATGGAACTTCTAGAGAGAGTTCAGCAGAGAGACACAGAGGTGATTAGGGACCTGGAGCATCTCCCTTCTGAGGAAAGGCTGAAGACCTGGGAATCTTCAGCTCAGAGAAGAGAATACTGAAGAGAAATCTTATAAATTCTGATAACTATTTCAAGAGCAGTTGTCAGGAGGACAAGTCCAGGCTCTTCTCAGGGATGCCCAGCAACAGGACAAGGGGCAATGGGCACAAACAAGAACTCAAAGACTTTCATATGAACATGAGGAAAAATTTCTTTACTTTGG